CAACCCCGTAAGGGGGTATCGGCGTGAGGGGGGGGGAGGTGCGTGGACCTTACAGTAGAGAGGCCCGAAAGGCCTCCACAGATTGTGCCTGTACGGCCTGGGCAGGTAAACTGTTCCACTCTCGTATCGAGCGTGGGAAAAATGAGAATTTGAAACAGTCTTTCGTTGCAGGAATAATATTGTATTTAAAGGCGTGGCTACCTCTGGTGCGCCGCTGTGCAGGAATAAGATATTGTTCAGAGGGTATGTGCATGTGACCGTGAGTTATTTTGAACATTGTAGTCAGACGTGCCTCTCTTCTTCTGTTTGCAAGAGTGGGCCATTGGAGTTTTTGCAACATTTCGGTCACACTACTGGTGCGGGCGTAGTCATTCATGACCATCCGGGCTGCCCTGCGTTCCGGGCAGAACTTGTCAACTAAAACAAAATAAGTTCCAATTCATATAAAGTTTGGGTCATTTATTTTTGAAAACAACAACAACAACGATCCACTTACTTGACTATTCTGAGGGATAATCCAAGACATTTTTATTAACATAAGTTGGATATGATTATGCAAATGAACGAGATCATCCAATTCCCCTTCTAATTCAGCTTCTAAGTTCTATGTCTGTTATTCTCCCTCCAGATTTTGAGGCTAGCTTCATACGTCTTCTTGACAGAATCACCAATGGATCCAGGATAGAGGTCAATGAAACAGGTATAAGTTTCAGTTTTATCTACTTTTCAATTCTTTCAGCTTTCACACCTTAGTAAAATCATAGTCCTACAAAATTCTTACGCACATGATTATACACTTATCAAAAAAAATATGACAAAGGTTAGGCTATGTATCTCTGAGCATAAACTATAGCCTTCATATTAAGAATAATATATTATACTAATTTTAGTATCTAAGCATAAGTAGCAAGAAGCATTTGGAGATTTCAACACTGTGAAATGACACTAATAAACGTCATAATTCTATCCATGTCTGTTATCCAGGTACAACTGTATACTACCAGCCAGGCCTGCTACATGGAGGGAAGATAGAGCATGACTGTAATGAGCAGAGAGCCATCGGGTACTACCTGGAGGCCCTCATCTGTTTGGCTCCCTTCACCAAGGAACCTCTCCATGCCACGCTCAGGGGAGTCACCAATGACCAAGTGGATGTTTCTGTAGGTTTCTCTGCCAATCATTATGAGTGTGTCTTTGCAACTGTTTCCCCACTTAATGTTTGCACCTTTGCGGTAGCAAAAGTTCGATGTCTGAGAAAAACGGACAATATGTAAAGGTAAATAAAGCAATGGCAAGTTCCATTCTACTACCAGCCATTAGAAACGTTAACTTATCTTTACCTTACAGGTGGACTACCTGAAAGTGACCTGCCTGCCCCTCCTGCAACAGTTCGGACTCATTGCCAATCTGGACCTGAAGATCACCAAGAGAGGTGCAGCCCCCGGGGGAGGGGGGGAGGTCATCTTCACCTGCCCCAACCCTCGCAAGCTCAGGCCTGTCAAGATCACCGACTTTGGCAAGATCAAACGGATACGAGGATGGGCGTATCCTTTTTTTCAGCATTTTTTGTCTCCTAGTGATACATTTTTCATTTACTTTGCTACATGTACTTATAGGTTATACAGGTATTTCTGGTACTCGCTTGGAGCTATAGATGACATCCATGGTGATTATTTGAGAGGGTCAAATATTTAAAGTTAAAACTTTGGAACCAGCACAAGGAATGGTTCTCACCTAGAGCTTTTGACCAGGCACTCTTGTCTTCCTCGGTAGACTGACCCAGTGAGGCTTGTCACGGGGCTAACATTGTTAACCAGATATCTTTGACCCAGTGTTGATGTCACACTTCAGAGAAGCCACGTAACAAGTCTACTGAGGAAGCTATTGGTGAGAACCATTCTTTGTTTTGGGTCCAAAGTTTTAACTTTAAACATGTAACTACCAACACAACAGAACTTTCCCAAGAGGGTCAGAATATCTTTCTATGATTCACTAAAATGCAAGTAGCAATAATAACATGGTAGCAGACATAAAATTGAAGTTATGTGAAAATGATGAAGCTGGTAATGTTGTAAGGAAGACCAGTCCTTAACACGTGTTAGGTTTGCCACCAGGGTCTCACCACAGACAGCCAACAGGATAGTGGAGTCTGCCAGGGGGGTGTTGAACCGTTGTCTCACAGACATCTACATCTATACAGACCATCGCAAGGGACCACAGGGGGGCAAGTAAGTCAAACAACAGACATCTCAAGGTCTTGATACTTTATCTTGGTGAATTATATGTACATTAGTTCACAATTCCATTTGCATATGTACTTCTGTCTACAAAGGCACATTGTTATCAGTGCTATTAATTTTACAACAAACAGAATAGAGTGGTTTATATATAATATGTCTTGCAAAATTTTTGCATCTACACTGTGATCATGATATATCCTGTACATTATAAAGACTATTAAGAGATTTTTGATACAATCAATGACATGTAACAGTTTAGTCATATTTCAAATACATGTATTATATACTCTTGTATACTCTGTATACAGTATTTGCATTACTATATATAGGTTTGCAACAGCAACTTAAGGGTCATTCTTAGGACAGTTGTTCATGTGTCATACATGAACAACTGTCATACATAGCTGCCTTTTGAGTTTTTACAGAAAGCCTTGCCACAGATTCTTGTTGACGGGTTCCTTGTCACTTCTTCATGTTTTCTGCCCAGATCTCCAGGTTTTGGTCTGACCCTTGTGGCAGAAACCACCACCGGGGTCATGCTGGGGTCAGAGGCCGTGTCACGACCCCAGGGTGCCGACGGTGACCCCACAGTACCAGAGGACCTGGGCAGGGGGGCTTCCAAACTCCTCTTAGAGGAGATCTACAGGGTGGGTTTGTTAAAGGCACTGGAAAGTTTCTGTAATGGTCTTATATCATACTGAATAAGTAACTTAACATGAATCACTGCTAGCAGAAACATTTGACTAAATATCACTCATCTGCAAGACAATTTTGCAAATCTAACACCATGACAGTCAGCATGGTTTCAGTGTGGTTTCTGTTTTGGGGAAGCAGGAAATTCTACATATAAAGAGACTATACATAATGCAGTGCTACAGATGTAAGAACTACACTCGAATAAAAGTGCTGCTTTGCAAAGAAGTATTCTACTGTAATGCTTGCATAGCTGTGTAGCCCAAGCACTATAGATCCGAGATGGCTCCTTTTTATACACCATATGATGTTGGAAGGACTTGACTTTAACTTTTCTACCAACTATCTCTGCCACAATTCTCCATAGGGTGGGTGTGTGGACTCTGTGAACCAGTCTGTAGCCCTGCTCTTTATGGCTCTGGGGGACCAGGATGTGTCCAAAGCTATTCTGGGACCACTTTCTCCTTACACGTAAGTACATGTACATACTGTCATATTGTCTCTTTGACTACAAAAGTTGCAACAATATGACATGTGGTTAATTTCAATTTCTACATGTAGCTGTGTTGGCATCATAGCCTTTGTAATTTGTGTTTTCGTTCAAGTGTACCTCTACCATGACATGTTTTGTTTTTCACTACAATGGACAATATCTGACAGAACAATTTTATTTTTTATGTTTCAGGATTCAGTTTCTTCGGCATCTTCAAGATTTCTTCAAAGTGATGTTTAAAATAGAAACTCTTAAAGCAGAAGATGATACAGAACTGTGTACTGGGGCTGACAAGATCCAGCTGACATGTATTGGTGTCGGCTACACAAATCTCAGCAAGAAAACCTCATAGTCCACACTTCTGTTGCATCCTCACCTATCAGAGCCTTACCTTGCATTATCCAAGTACCAACGGGAGGCTGGAGTGCAGTTGGTCCTTTTATAGTCTGTGGTAGCTAACTGTCATCCAATCAGATGCTCCTTGGCACGTGCCCAGGTGTTATTCCTTGGTAAGAGTGATCATCTGATTGGCTGACCATCACTATTGCCCATAAAAGGAAGGATTGCACACTGAATACACTCTGACTTTTCTGGTATATTAAATAAAGAATGTGTCAATACTACAAGCTTACAATACTTGTGTTCTCTGTGCACTATTTAACTGAAAGTTTTAAAATTTAACAAACATGAAATACAAATGAACTACACACTCCTTCTGATTACATGGTTCTGGTTACATTTTATTTAACATTGCGACTTGGTGCCTGACAACTTGTCTACCTTACATATAGAACAGCATGGATGGCTATTTGCACATTAGTGAGCTACACTGTGTTGGTCTTACTTAGCATTTGAATTCATACATTATCCCAGTGTAGATCAAACACTCAATGTATCTATTCCTATATTCTGCAACATTCTTAATCTATTCGTGTAGTCACATTCATCATACACTTTTTTTTTCTGGTAGGAGTTTGAGCAAGACTGATAGAATTCACCATTGACACGGATCTATGACAACCTTTTCCATCACAAGACAGCTGACTTTTACTTCTGTACAACATATTCAAGACTGTCCCAAGAATGCCCTCAATTTACTGTCATAAACCTATTGTATGATGAATGTGACTGCACTTAATTTGTACATCACACATTGAAGCCAGTGTGTACTAGTTAGAGCTAACTACTTGAGCAACATCAGTATGTCCTTGTGAACATATAGTCACTGTGAAAACATGCTACATGTAGTAGGTATTTGTTAGCAGCCATTGATACACTGAACAGCTTTGTTTGGTGAGTTGAAGTTAGTGCACATTGTCACACATTATGAACACACATCATCTATAGGCACTAATACTACATGTATAGCCATAACAAAAGAATACATTGGTCAACAACAACCACAGTGGGGTACTTTTGCAAAGTGGGATTGTAGCTGGGAGTACAATAAGGTAGGTGAACGTACTTTTCACTACATTAACCTTGGGAATAGATTTTCACTTTCCATTTCTGTAACACAGTGTTTGAACCTGCACAGGTATTTGAAAATAATTATTTCATGTACACTTCCTGATTCCAAAAACTATGGTAATCCTTTAATATGTTCCATTGTTCTGTTTCACTCTAGCTGTACCTGAAGATAGATGTGCTTTGCTCTTCCTGTCTGCTACGGAGTGCATTACTGGTAAGAATTGCTTATTGTGGACATAGAAATTGGTCTCACATAGACTGTGGGTAGATGTACTCTTCTACACTCACTTGGTAATTGATGTACTATGTTAGTTTGTACCATTCTTTACCTCACTTCAACCTGAGCCAAGACTTTCCAACATGATAAAACACTCAGGCCAACTCATCATAATTTGTTGGTTCTTAATATATAATAGACTTTTAAAAAATCTTAATGGAAGATCAATATGAAAACATCTGAATTTATTCTGGATGAACTCATTGATGGGGACTGAAGATAATGAGATGCAGTTTTTTCTTCAAGCTTGTTTTATCTTCTTGAGGAATGTATTCTTTTAACTGACCAAGAGGAAATGAAGGTGTGGCCTGAGGTTGTATTCACTATTTGTAATTGTTGACCTGTCATATGGTAATTAGAAGTCAAGTCATCATGTGGAAGTAGGCATTTTCTAAGAAATTTTTCTTTTCTACCACTGTCTTTCACTGTTGCACATTATGGTCCCTAAAATATAATGTTGGCAAAAATATAAAGTGATATACCTTTGAATGTGTGTTATATCAACATGTATATAAGTGAACAACACAAGTGCCTGACTGGTGCACACATTATTATCTCTCTTAATCAATTTGTACTGCTGATACATTGTTCAATGGTTTATGGCTTTTTTTCAGCCCTTCTAAAATGACTTTCAATTATTCCTTTTGCAACTTGCATACAATGCAAATGTTTACATTTAATGTTAACATTTCTTAACATTTTCTTATTAGTGTAATGGTATGTTCATTGTTCAAATGTATTTGCAATAGGCTTCATTCTATTTTAAGGTATTTTACATGTGTTTTTATTACTGAATACATGTTCTTCCATTCATTATGGTTGTTAACACAAGGTATGCACAGGCCACATTCGTTGTACAAGTTTTTTTGTTTAGCTATAGTATTTTCAACCACCAACAAGGATCTTTCATAACCTTTTTTGTTACAAGACAGCTGAATTTTGTACAATGCATCCTTGACTATCTCTTCATTTTCTGTATAAACCTATCATACAATGAATGTGACCTGTAGATATCAGCTCTATCACTTTGCACTACAAGATTGCCCTTGAAGTAGATTGGCCTAGTGCACTTACAGCATTTTGTGCTGTGTATGACCTACATATGACTATAGATGTTGTTACACCAATGGTCCAGCCTTACTCTGCTGTCTTCTTGGGTTTGCAGCTCCTCTGGTGGACCACCAGTCGGTCTGGCAAGAAGGTCCGGCCACAGATTGGACACGGCACCAGGTTAGCCTGGGACGCCTGCCACGCAGCCTCGTTCATCGCTTCAATATCATAGGATCCAGAAGCTGGGGAGGTTAGAAACAGTTTGTTGATTCAATAACTAATATTGCTACAGATGCTGGATACTGGATAAGCTGTACTGTAGATTGTATTCATTCACTTTACATATCACTGAAACAGGCAGGTGCTGGCGGCCATATTGGTGTCCCTATTTGCATTTCAGTGGATCCTAGCTTAAGTGTACACAGCAGTTTTACTGGCAATTTTAAAGTCTTCTAGCATTCTCCTAGTTGAGCTGTAGACATTCAATAACAGTTGTCTGAGAGGGTCAGAAGACCTTTGAATGTTAATAACTTTATTAATGTTTGAGCTGAAATGCAAATAGAGACACCAAGATGGCAGAGGGCAATGCTTTAGATGCTGATTTGCCTCTGATTCTGTGAACTGGTCAGGTTTGGAGGTGCAGTATTGCTGGTAGCATGCTTCATAAACTTTGCATTCATACATTATTGACAAGATTAATTGTGGTGGAATTAATTTGTTTCCTTTCCTCATATCAATTATTGATTTCCTGATATCACCAGTTATTGCATTATTAAGCAGACCTTTGAAAGTCATTCATGTCCAAAGCAGAGTTGCATGACACTGTACAGTAAAATTTAAGTCTTACATTGAAAATGAATTTATTCCTATTTGAAGATATCTAGATCAAAGCTTCTTACACCTCAACATGTCTTTTTTCCAATGATCTCTCATGAGTACATTGTTTGATGGAGTACCAGAGGAAAGCTATACTGGAAGTCCAGGGTGTATTCCCCAAGGAAACTTTGGAAGTATTATACTCCTAATAAAATGTTTACTTATTTCTCGCACTTGAAGGGTGCATTTCAAAGGCATAAACTTTGCCATGCACTGATTTTTATCTATCAAGATAGTGACAATTTTGGTCCAGCAAATACGATTGAATGAAAGGTACTGGGAAAAACTCTGATCTAGATAATTTATATGTATAAACATTCATAAGTGACTGCAATGCATACATGTTACACAACAGTAACATTCCATCAAAGGTAAAGTTGTATTCAAAGTTATAGTTACCATTTCCTCCTATTGTCCAGAACAGGGAAAGGAAGGAAGGAATGAAAAAGACAAAAGATGAACATGAGATTAACATTTACCAACATTCTTTTGATGTTTGGAAGGTGTTGATACTAGTAGTTCAATGCTTTTGAATTTCTCCCAATAACAATTCTTAACACTGAAGAAGCTATTTGACCGAAGAAGCTATTAGAAACAATTCTCTACTGGTTATGGGGTTAGGCAGCAGTGAGAGGGTTAATGATAAGCCCTGCACTCGTACAAACTGTGCTAGTGTTTCACTGTCTCTGCTGAGATTGAATAGACACATGTAAACTTCTGCAAATCACTAAAACTGACGGTATCACATTAAAGATGCTCACTATGTCTGTCAACATTTGCATGCAATACCGGTACTTGAACTTAAAATCAGGCCATGGCCAATGGGAGAGAAATGTAGGTGGAACCTGTACCTGTGATTGGTCTAACTTCTGGTTTCTTGGGTTCTGGGCGTCGCATGGACTTGGGTAGCTGATCGTTCTCTATGTGCCATTTCTTCAGGCACTGCGGTTCATGGATGGAGATGGACTTGGTCCCAAACTCCCGACCACAGATGTAGCACACCACGGTGGCTGGGCGGCGGACAACTGGGGTCTTAGACTTCTGTGTAACGGATGTGGTATCAACATTTAAGTTTTAAGACTATGGGAAGACACCGGTTGCACATGAACATCAATTGCTTCTTTTCATGAGACAATTCTAAAGAGAATCATAACTCACTGTTGCTTTACTTAAAGCTATATTAAATGAAAGTATGAAATAGGTATGATTTTTTAATGTAGATTTCTTCCACTGTACTATAAGTACCAGCCATTAGGAATGCTTGTTGTAAGAAAAATAAGTGTTATTTACCGTTGGAGTAGGATAGGTTTTTGACAAGTTAGGGCCACCTGCAGCACCTGATGCTCCTCCCTTGGTCTTGCAGCTGCGCTGGTGGACTGCCAGCCTGGCAAAACAAAAATTCATGTTATGGTGCAGTCATATTTTCATATAATATTTTGCTGCAGGATAGTGAGAAAATGACAGAATTAACTGTTTACAAGGATGCCAGACAACCTTACCTGTCAGGCTGGAAAGTGCGTCCACAGTTCCCACAGGGCACCAGCTGAGATTGGGCGCTCTTCCACGCTGCTTCATTCCTTTCCTCTGCACTCATTGACGACGATCCAAGCTTCTTGGGTTCGGGTCGTCTCTGGTCACGTGGAAGCTGCTTATTTTCCAGCCGCCATTTTTTCAGGCACTGCGGCTCGTGGATGTCGATAGACTTGGAGCCAAACTCCCGGCCACAGATGTAGCACACGACGGTCCGGGGCTTCTGAGGTGGGGTCGACGATGATGATGATTTAGGCACAGCCCCTCCTTTAGGAGGAGAGGAGGTGGCAGTGGCAGAGGGGGTGGTCTTGTGAGCGCCGCTGCCGTCCTTGGGTCTACAGCTCTTCTGGTGCACTTGAAGACGGTCGGGCAGAAAGGTACGCCCGCATGTAGGACAGGGTACCAGACTGGCCTGAGAGCTCTGCCAGGCTGCTTCGTTAGCTGCATCCACATTGTAGCTGCCTCCACCTGTAACCGCAACCTCCTGTGGTTTCACAGGTGTGGGCCTGCGCAGGTGCTTTGGTAGCCTGGCATTTTCTGCTTTCCACTTCTCGATACACTGGGGTTCATGGATTGATAACGATTTGGACCCGAACTCTCTCCCACAGATGTAGCACACCCGGAACGTGGGCCTTTTCGGTGCGACTGTAGGAAGGTTTGCCTTAGGTTTGGTTGATCCACCCTCACTGTCATCACGTAGTGTGACTGTGGATGGGCGGGCTATTCTCTTTGCCTTCGCACTTCCTGACTTGCCTTTGCTGGACATGTTGTTGTCAATCTTTTGACTAGAAGACCTTGAATTATTTGCAGTGCCTTTAGACTCGGGCCTGGAGATGGGTGTGCTCGATGAACTACCAGACCGGGTATGCTGCCTTGATCGAGGAGAAACCTCAGGAAGATCTAACCTTGGAGACACAATAGGGATTCCTTGCGAAGTCCGTGGGGATTGGTCAATGTCAATGATTTGGTGATCAGGAAGTGAGGGGTTCTCTAACGTAGCAGTGCCTGGTCTCGGCGGTCTCTTGGACAGCGTCCTCGTCTTTGGCCTCTCCAGGGTTCTAGTCTTTGGCCTCTCAAGTCGTGAAACAGTTTCCTTTTTTGACGTCCCCTTGTTTTCCTGGGGTCTGGTCTGAGGGCCGTCTATATGTGGCAACGAAAATGGCTTAACCGGCGACCGTTTTCGCTGACTGGCAGGTAACTTGTAGTTCTCCCTGTGCCACTTCTCCAGACACTTGGGCTCGTGTAGGCTTATAGACTGGGAGCCAAACTGTCTCCCACAGATGTAGCACACCTGCATACCAGGGTGTAGGACTCAGGTTCGGCAGAAGTGGGTGATGCGTGACTGCCTGCTACAAGCTTCAAGTCCTGATGATCTCCCATGGGGGATAGCGGGATCCTTATATCTGGACTGTCTGACATTGTCCAAGATTTCTCTACAAGTGAAACGAGTGGAGGTTGTAAGAACCATCATTGATGTATATTTGACAAATTTTCCCACCAAATATGAGGTATGTAAGACATTAATTTAGAAGCATTAGTCCAAGGTGTACTACCCGTAAGTCCAAAATTGATCTGCTTGTTGTTTTGTGTAGATGAAACAAGTCATGCTGTACTACAGAATTGTTTCAATGTCAATCGATATCTTAAAACACTGCAAATAACTCATTTCCCCTCCTACTCCAAGATTAAGTCCCCAATTTACAGTACACATAACCAGAATCCTCCTATTGAAGCTTTAGTTTAATCATGCTTAAACCAAGGACGTTTCAATAGAAACCGCCTGGCTTAATCCTTGTCCTTGTTATGGGCAAGTTCGATCCATTTTACAGCTTAAGGCAGCAAGGTCAGAAGGTGTAATGTAATGTAATGTCATGTACATTTACAGAAACCAACTTTGCAACTTAGGTTTCATGTGATGAATCTTGTGATAGTTTGTATATCAGATATCCATGACAGGTCGGTAATTGTTACCCGTCAGTCCATGACAGTTTACATGTATGACGACTACTGATATGGACAGGAAATGGGGATAGCGTAAGTACTAATTGCAGGACCCAGAGAACACATGCATCAACTTTAGACACAGTTGCCCCAAGCAAATGCCTCAAGCACTTATGTCCGACAATACAGAAGAAAGCCTAGTACTGTGCACAATCCCAGCTCCAAATGAGCAGCATGCAAAGATAACATGAGGCGTTAACCATGGCTGAGTAAATCCACCATTAACCTAATTTACACATTTTACTTTGACTGCTAGTGGAGGTATGACCCTGACGTTGCGTTACAAACGGCACAGACTAAGTGCAAAATGACCAACTAGCTAGAATCATGATATGTTGTGTAAATAGTTAGCTGTGCAGCTGAATGAAAGAGAACGTACGTGTGTGAGTCAGTGTTGTAAGACAGTCACCGCCATGGCCGGCTTTTGTTATGGGCCGCCCGGCTGCCTAGTAACGTTTGACGCACTGGGCGGAGCCGCCTGCATGTACACGTTGCTATGGAGAACGCGTGCCGTTGCTACAGGGAGGGTCTTAGCTACAATTCCTTAGGGAAAAACTTTTCCTTCTTGAAGACGATACATGATAAAAATGCACTAAAGAAGATAAAACAGTTCCCGAAGAAAGCTAGCGTCATTGCAGAAACACAGTGTAATGTTATACCCACCTGCTCAATTTTCACACCACCTGTTTTCCCGGCCGCCATTTTGAAATTGCGCACTGATTTCTCCACTTTTGACAAAAGTCGCTAGGTGGCAGTTTCACACAGGGCTACTTAGCGATTGTCATAAACAAGCAACAGCATTGAAAAGCATATTAAATCTAACATCTATGTGCTGAGGTAGAATGTCTATGACGGGCCTTGATAGGACCGGCTATCTGGAGAAAAAGGGTCATTGGTTGGTTGTACGTATACATACGTGGTTGGAGTCACGCCTATGGATTTGAATGTGTATGATGTGTACTTTCGTAGGTCAGTAACATAAATACGCAGATTCAAATTTCCCTACCAACTTCCAGGTTTAATTATCCAGCATGGCGGACAACAGTTATTTTGTGCACTTTATCACTCATGATTACAGGTTCGCGATAGCGGAACCTGTTCTACGTTACCTCGATTTTATGGGCGCCGCCATTTTGTTTCCCGTCATGCAATGGGGCAGGCCAAAGTTGAGTGAAGTGCATTGTGGGACCTGTCACCGGGCCACAGTGTAAGGACGACGCCTAGCGGTATGTTTGGAAAGAGCAGTAACTGAAAGCCTATCTGGTTGTGTGTTCATTTTGGTAGGAGTGTATAGAGGCGATGGCTTTGGTGTAATATACGCTGATTGTGTTTAGCACTTGCAATTGAAGTTCAATGTAATTTTCTTAGCATGACGGGAAGGAAACATGGCGGACCTAAGGTTTTTTTTTTGGATGATGAGATGATGAGGCTTTGGTATTAGTAGGGTGGTCTTGTGGATCTTGTCGGAGGCCGAAGCTAGGGACGACAGATTGTCCTCAAGTACAGGGTCAGTAGGTGGGATAAATGGCATGAAGTTGGGGGATGTGATTTTGTCCATCTGAATATTAAGCATCCTGAAACCTGTCCTGTCTAACATTCATAACAGAATAGTCCTTTTTTGTCTGACCTAGGACCTAACTCTAAGAAGTGACAAACTGAGGAATGACACAGAGACTTGCTTTGGTCAAGACTTTTAGACTTGACCTCTGACCTTGCAGCGGGAGACACCTGTACTAGGTCATCTATTACAGCTGTAGAGCCAGGGAACTCCTGTTGCACATGATCATTGGATATTGTACAAAAACTATGCAGATGTCCTGCTATAAATACCATACATGCCTCCCTTGTATTTAAGATATTATTATATAGCAGTGAATCATTGAACAAATCTTATATGGCCGTTGTACTCGTTAGTTTGATAACTGGACGTACTGAATAACAGCAATCAGTTTCGATTACAATATAGACTGTATCATTCTCCAGTCTCAAAGCCTGGCTACTGGAGAAGCGAAATGTAATAAAATTATTGACAATACAATTGAACTAGTTGTTGTTACAATGACTGTCGTTCTTTATGCTAAAATGTTTTGTTGTCACTGTCCTTGTACTAGGACATATGATGGATCCAGACAATCAAACAATTTGGTCAAGGGGTGGTCCTCTGGCTAA